TCTCTATTGCATAAATGTGAAAGAAATGAGTAAAAGATAGCTTCAGCTCCTGTTGTTTACTTGTAGAGAATCTTCATACACATTTTACACTTTTTGGGGGTTACAATCTACGATTAAGCTCCTAAGTAATTTTGTTGAAGTCTGCTGGAGCCTGACAAGCCAATCCTGTCAGCCTTGCACCAGTCTATCAATATGCTGATCTGCAGAAGGAGCACAGCAGAGCGCCTGAGGGATTCCCCACATCCTTGGCGAGGAGCTGCTGGTGACTGTGCGTGTGCCATAGCTTGCCCATCGTCCATACATCTTTTCATTCAGCTACATTCCAGATGGACTAATCTCTGAATAAATGCATTTCTTTGTATGCTGACAGGTCTGGGTACATTACTAGTAGTGACGTTGGTTATATTATGTATTTTATCATCATTTGAGAGCTGGATATGCTTGTAACACTTACAAGGTGTTTTATATACAGTATGCTGATCTGACTGACATAGTTTTGGGGGGCATTTGAGTGGTACTATTTTCATTGTTTTGGCCTACATACAGTGGGGAAAATAAATTATTTGATCTTGTGCAGATTTTGTATGTTTGCCCACTTACAAAGAAATTAAGGGTCTATAATTTGTATCATAGGTGCATTTTAAATGATAGAGACAGAATATCAACCAAAAATCCAGAAAAAACACACAATACAAATGTAATAAATTGAGTTAGAGTTCAGTGAGTAAAATAGGTATTTGATCCCCTACCAATCAACAATAATTCTGGGTCCCACAGACTGGCTATGTGTTCATGTGGTACACAAATTAGTCTTGTCAGTTTAAGAAGGTGCTCCTAACGACAACTCGTTATGCGTATAAAAGACACCTGTCCACAGATTTTCTTTTTTTCATTCAAACCTCGCCACCATGGGCAAGACCAAAGAGCTGTCAAAGGATGTCAGGGACAAGATTGTAGACCTGCATAAGACTGGAATTTGCTACGAGACCATCAGCAAGAAGCTAGGTGAGAAGAAGACAACTGCTGGAGCGATTATTCGCAAATGGAAGACATACAAAATAACCATCAATTGCCCTCGGTCCGGAGCACCATGCAAGATTTCACTTCATTGGGTAAAGAAGATCATAAGAAAAGTGAGGGATCAACCCAAAACTACACAGGAGAAGCTTGTGAATGATCTCAAGGTAGTTGGGACCACATTCACCAGACAAACCATTGATAAAACAATACACCACCACAAACTGAAATCCTGCAGCATCCGGAAGGTCCTCCTCCTCAAGAAGGCACACGTACAGGCCCATCTGAAGTTTGCCAATGCACATCTACATGATTCAGAGAAGCATTGGGATTACATGCTGTGGTCAGATGAGACCAAAATCTAGCTCTTTGGCATTACCTCAACTCACCATGTTTGGAGGAAGAAAAATGCTGACTATGACCCTAAGAACACCATCCCTACAATCAAGCACGGAGGTGGAAACGTTATGTTTTGGGGCGGTTTCTCTGGTACAGGCCGACTTTGCCGCATTGAGGATCCAATGGACGGAGCCATGTATTGTAAAATTTTGGATGAGAACCTTCTTCCCTCAGCCAGATCACTGAATGTGGGACATAGATTGGTCTTCCAGCATGACAATGACCCAAAAAATACCACCAAGGCAACAAAGTGGTGGCTCAGAAAGAAGCACATTAAGGTCTTGGAGTGGCCTAGCCAGTCTCCAGACCTTAATTCTAGAGAAACTGTATGGAGGGAGCTGAAACTCCGAGTTGCCAAGCAACAGCCAAGAAACCTTAAGGATTTAGAGAAGATCTGTAAAGAAGAGTGGACAAAAATCCCTTCTGAGACATGTGCAAACCTGGTAACCAACTACAAGAAATGTCTTACCTCTGTGCTTGCCAACAAACAAGGGTTTCTCCACCAAGTGCGAAGTCATGTTTTGCTTGAGGATCAAATACCTATTTTACTCACTGAACGCTAACTCAATTTATAATATTTGTATCATGTATTTTGTTTTTTGATTTTTGGTTGATATTCTGTCTCTAGCATTTAAAATACACGTATGATAAAAATTATAGACCCTTCATTTCTTTGTAAGTGGGCAAACTTACAAAATCTGCAGGGGATCAAATACGTTTTTTCCCCACTGTATTTAAACAGTGAATTGAATTAGGGTTATCAGGAAACCAATTTCAACACCATAATTGTTAACGTGAACTTAACGTGGCCAAAACAGCATCAACGATAAAAGTGCTTAATTGCAGAACCTAAATTAGTCCTAAAACTAGTTCCTGTGTTATCCCTTGGATCACAGGCTGTATACAAAGCCTAAAACATTCTTTTCTGGAGAAAGTAAGCCCTGTCACCTCCAGATGCTAAGCTCTGTCCTGTCCTTCAACTTTCAAATGCCAGAACTTCAGCAGACAGTTGAAAGCAAGTCAAGGCCCTAATTGGACTAGAACCCAGAAGATTCATGCAGCGATTGATCTGAACACAAACTTCTAAAAAGTTAACTTAAGACACTTTTTGGGCTACGTTAGGTTCCCTGTAAGATCCTTAGTAAAAAAAAAACAGCAAGAAAACTGCAACTAAAACAGAATTTTAAAAGCAAAATGGTTACGTTTGTTATAGGCAGCTGTTAATGCGTTAAAATTTAATTTTTTTGTTTTGTATCTCTCAGGGCTAGTTACGTTTCTCAAGAACTGGGTATCACTTAATGAATTAATAAGCAGTCTACACAGAGGCTATCGGTTCTACTTATGAATGTTTTAGCCCTTTCCAACCAAGATTCACAGAGGTTTAACAAAGACAAAATCCAAGCAAATCCTGGCAGAACACTGTGTGAATACTGGGTGAAAACAGTGATAAAAAGACCCCATGCTCACAAATGGCTCGGATATGTGGGTAAGCTTAGAGACCTAGAATGCAGAGATTTAATCAACCAGAAATATAGGACGCTGATGGATATAAACCGTTCAATGGCATCTGTTTACAACACTAGTTTTAGGAGTTGACTTCAAATCTTTAAAAAAAGAAAAAACAGTAAGAGGTAGATCAAACACAAAATACTAGGAGAAAGGGATACTTCTTTGGGGTATTGCACATTTTTGTGCTGTGTCGTACATACAAACAGATGCTCTCTATAATAACTAAGAAATATGTTTATAAGAATGCTTAGAAAGGAACCACAAAAAACTCTTCACTATGTGAATGTGTGTTTTATTGGATGACCTGCCTTTCAGCTTTGTTATAAATTATTCAGTGTAATCACGGCTATTTTATAGCGGCACATTTTCTAACAGCAACTCACCTGCGTGGCTGTGAATTTTTTATACCCTAAATAACAGATACTGTAGACTGCACCACTACAAAAATACTCCTCAGAAACCAAGAATAGCTTATAATGCTTAGTGTGGAATAAAGAACTAAACTTTCACCTAAACCTGTAATCCAAGTTGTTACAAGTTGGAATAGTATGATCTCTTGTTTAACTATATATGCCATCTACAAACTGCTATGTCGTACATTTGAGAGGTAATCCGTTATAAGTAAAACCATGGAAACATGCCAGATCAACATGGGAGCTTTAGAAATCCAGAAACACACATTTAAAAAAAAAAAAAAGTAAAGGTGTAAAAAACTAGTCAGAGGAAGTTCCCGCTAGTGTAACATGCATATAGGCAGTGTTTTAGGCACAGTCCTGTAAAATAAAGACATAGATATATTGATAGATAAGGCAATGGTCTCACAGCGAAATAATTTCGGATGGATCAGTTTACAAAGTAGTTGTGTCTGGACACAACAGCATCAATTCAGCAGTATAATGCATGTAATATACCTGCTACTGGCCATTCATGTCTACAGTCGGAAATACACACAATTTTGTCATACACAACCTCACACATCTGTATCCACAAGGTTTTAAAGAATAACTTGACTTAAAAAAAACAAAAATCAATTGTGATCCATGTAAATTCCAAGTACATTAGCTAAATTTGTTGCAAAGTCCTATCTGCAAAGCTGTTTATTGTGTGCAGAGTGAAACTGAATGGGAGTGACTTGTTAATTATCAATGAGCTGATGCACTTGCAGTGTTCTAATGAAGAAAATGCATGGTCTGCATCACTTTAAAAGTAAATAACACCTTTGGGATTATCTCACCGCAAATAACATTTTTCTTGCAGAAGATGCCTAAAATCTGATTTGTATCTTTCTGCTCACTTATGGGAATATCAGTGAGCCAATCACACAAGCAAGAAATTACATTTCCAGTGGTGTTCAGAACACCTTCAAGTTGCCATACTCAAAATGAATTTTACAGAAAATTACAGAGGCTGCAGATTGAAGGGAAAGGTAATTTCTAAGAACATTCAATTACAGTATGGTTTGTCTATCAATTGTATACGCTATTTTTTTATTTGATATTTTTTTCACAGGAAAATGAAGTTACTCTTTAATCGCTTCCAGTCTGGACACTTTTACCTCCTTCCTGTCCAGGCCAATTTTCAGCTTTCAGTGCTATCACACTTTGAATGACAATTGCGCGGTCATGCAACACTGTACCCATATGATTTTTTAGCATTCGTTTGAGACAGATAAAGCTTTATTTTGGTGGTATTTATTCACCACTGGGATTTTTATTTTTTTTGCTATGCAAATGAAAAAGTCAAAAAATTTTGAAAATTGTGTTTTTCTTATAAAATTTTGTAAATAAATAGTATTTCATCATAAATCTTGGCCAAAGTTTATTCCGTTATCTTTTTAGTAAAAAATATAAATAACCCAATTTAGTTTATAACCAAAAATTATAATTTTTAAACTTTTTTTTTACTTTTTTTATTTTTTATATTATTTACGCTTTTTTTTTTTTTTACATACTGTCACCATAGCAGTACAGTGTCACCATGGTGACACTGTATTACTTGTGGAGGGGTGATGAAGCCCATAAAGGCTGTAAAAATTATTTCTCCTCTCTAGCTGCATTCTTGCAGCCATTGAGAATTACTGTGTGAGCTGTGATTGGTCACAGCTTGTCACATGGTACAAGGCTGTTGTGAATAGCCTTGTACCATGTGACCTCTGTGATCAGAGATTTCACATGTAGTAGGCAATGATGTCACAAGTAACATCTTGCTTACTACTCTGCATGTGATCACGGATTGGCCAATCAGTGATCACATGATCAGGACCTCGCACAGAGGTCCGGTTCAACGATCGGTGTTCCACTGTGTCCCAGGGAGCACGCACAAGCAGGGTGCGGGGAGGCTGTTTATAAACGGCCACCCGACCCTGCACTGCCACCGTCTGGCCGTTTATATACAACGGTCAGATGGGGGGTGGTTAAGGAAAGGACATTCACATAGTGAACGAAGACCCTCTATGGGGGAATATTATTGAAAATGTTTGGTGCATCAGGCTATATACCTAGAGTGTCAGATGAATTCACAAGCCTAATGGAACAATGTTTAAAACTTTAGCTCATCCATCTCATGAATATCTTGTTGAATATTTGAAAACAGATTAATCTTATGCCGAATTAGATTTATAGACTCAATGTAAACCATAATGCGTATTTGCTTCTTTTTGTTATATGCCTATGTTCATGTGTTTATACAGTATATATTGTATATATTTTTATACCTGTGTAAATCATATACTGGCGTTTAAATCAATCTGGCAAGGTTGGATCTGCCACCAAATGAACATGACATGCATAACTGAGTAAATTGAAGCTTTCCAGTGCACACATCAAAGCAGAATTTATTTATGTCCTTTTACATCTCTCAGCAGGTTAATGCACTTTATAAAGGCAAGACCTTTACAACAACAAAGAACTGTATAAAACAAGTTAATTTTGCAAGCTTCTGCTGTAGACCTGCTCTTCAAGAAATAACAGTTCAGAGGAAGCTGCTACACAATTTCATTTTCCAGCCTACAAAGCCTAGCAACAGGGTATTACAAGTTAGAGCCGAATTGTGCTATTTTTGCATATTATTAAATGTTCCACTTGCATATTTCATAGATCAAAAGTGATTGCCCTGTGGTGTTGCACAATTGAACTAATTGTAACAAAGATTTGGCACTGGACATTTGTAATGTGCAACACATTTGGGTGCCAGAGTAAAAGCAATTGTCAACATGAATGCATATATTAAATTGTCCATACCTTAAAAATTAAGCACTGGCAAGCATAGGTCTTTATTTTTCAAGACAAACAAATTATAAAACTTGCGTAAGGATAGCAACAACATTGTTTTTAAAATGCAATAAAAGCCTAATACACCAAAGAATAGTAAAGGGGATCACACATGGTACAATCTGATTGTGTCAGTTCTTTAAGTCAACTATTGACTGTGAAGGCCCATCCTAACAATCAAAAACAGCACACATGTTAATGCTGAACTCTGGACAGGGACATTCCCCTCACCAACTAAACTTTACGTTCCCCTTCTAATTAATTGCCACATTAGATTCTTAAAAAAAAAAAAAAAAAATCGTAAACGCAATGGCCCAAGCTCTTACTTCAGTCCATGGTCAAGTGACACACTTGGTGCTCAGTCTTCTTTATTATGACCTGCATAGTGAGACAGTGTTTCTTTAAATTGTCATATTGCTGCCTGGTGTCATGGGTATCTCCACTTGGCCATCATTTGGCAGGATCCCTCCAGGGTTCCCATCAATGATATGATGAGCAACAAAAAGGTCAGTAGCAGGCCTGGGTCATGTTACCTTGGGCTCAGGTGAGTTCAGGCGGAGAGAAGTTCATCCAATGTTCCCGCAGCATACTTGCATATTGTGAAAGACCTACCTTAAGTGTGCCATTCTCTAGCAATGAAGAGTTTATACTCCTTTCATTCTGTACTCCTGCCTACTTCTGGGCAGTCCCTGATTGTTCAACCCCATTGTCACAGTGTATACAACTAAAATATTTGGACAGCAGACAAGTAAAGCAATTTTTTCGTCAGTAGAAACTGATCAAGTATCTGTTCCCAAAAACTCTACCATATCTTTTTTTACTTTTTATTGTTAGTTGGAGATTAAAAAGGGCTTCTGAAGGTTTTTATTTTTCTTAAAATGTGTGAAAGCCTGGCAGAGGTTCAGAATTTGCCTGGAGATGGACTATGCAGAAAGTCTTCATTTTTCTTAAAGGTTTCCATTACCTGGCAATGTTATTGCCAGCAGCAACTCTGTATTTGTCAGAGAAAAGCAGTAGGAATGAACACCTAAACAAAAACTAATTTGGCATTTGAATCACTAATTCACAAATTTAATCATCACTGTGAAAAAAAGGAAAAAAAAAAAACTGTTAACATTGCTTTAGTTTTTCATTTGATACAACTAAATGGAAAACAACTACAATGCTGTTAAGGTCTGACACTCATCCTATTTATATATCTATACAGTTTAGCTACTGCAGCATTAAACAGATAAAACTATAGAGGATGTTATTGTGACGATTGCAACGTCAGATCCCTGCCCTTCTCACCAAACTTGTGACCGAAGAACTAGCCAATCTAAAACCACGCTGCCACGCCCAGCTGCACCCTGCACAAAGATTTTCCAGCTAATGGACCACAACCTGTGTACCTGCAGCCTGAGAGCAATTGTTACTAAGTCAGGTTAATTACGCAATTAACCCTTCACACTGCCACCAACTCCTTTTTGTACAGAGAAAGAGGAAACTCAGCAATATCAGCAATAACACTATGATGTTTTCATAAGCGTCGGTATACCACTGTCACCGCAGACAGAGATATACCGAAGTTTAAAACACACACACAGTAGCGCTCTTCAGAGGCAGGGGTTCTTAGTTTGCATTAAAGAGCTTTAGAAACAGTTCAACACTTTCAGAAAGTAAGATTTCTTACTAAAAGATCAAAAGGGTGCAATAAATATATTTACAGAAAAAGATGTAGCCAATATATATATATATATATATATATATATATATATATATATATATATATATATATATATATACACACACACATATATATATATATATATATATATACATACATAAATATACAGAGAGCAATAACACACCAAAGAGATAACAGAAAGCAATTTAGGGAGATAAAGTACTTGCCAAAAGCCTTGGTTTAAGCAGCGTTCAAGTTTTCTGAGCAAAAAGGGCAGTCTCCCAAGTTGGTTCCGATGTAAAAAGGGAGAATTCTTCAACTTAACTCAGCTTAGCTTTTTCTAGGAACTCAGCAGGGTGTCTCCCTGAAGCAGAGAACCAATCGCCTCATTTGGGGAGGGGTGTGTAGGTGGAGACCCCAGCTCGAACAAAAATCCCTCTTAGCTTATATCATGGCCCATAACTAACCCTCGGTGCGTTTAGCAGCCTGGCCACTAGTAGAGTAATATGCAGACGCATCTGCTGAACGTTTAGATATGAAATATGACATACCTGCTTGGATGGTTAAGGAGATATCATTTTCTGCTCTCCTGTATATGCCAGCTAGGGGGTGTAATATATCAGGCGACTTGTATTAAAGTGAGCCGTCCGAATATGTGCTCCATGTTTATGTAATTGTGTCATTTTTGAAGACATAAAATTATATGGAAAAGTGAGTTTTTAAATGTAAGTCTGTTTTTACGACTACCTGGAATGTCTTTGAAGCTCAGTGAGGACTTGGTTTATGGCTTTACGGTCCCTTCTCCAGCAAGAGTCTCGTAGACATAGGGGCACCAGATAGTGTGGGATTTATAACCATGACGCCCTCCCAATGAGTTTGCGGCCTGTGATCTGCATCAAACAGACCACATATCACTCAACAGAGAGGGAGGGGGGATGAGGAAAGCGGATTTGGGAGTAGAAATTTTTTTGGGAGTAGAAATTGCAAGATTGACAGTTACAAGCATGACTCCCAAAGGCAGAGGCATGATGGGACTTGTAGTTTCGTAACAGCTGGAGGGCTGCCAATTTGACAACCCTGTGCTAGACTGTTTCAACCAGATCAGGCCCATTTATTTCAAGTGGTTCTACCCAGATCACACAACCAGAGCCCTGATCCCATCAGTTAAAACCCTTTTGAGTTACAGTCACTGTTCATGTTCAGCAACACAAATAAGTTGATGCTGTGATTTCAGGATCCAACCTAAGACTCACTGAGAACCTAATGCAGGTTTGTATTGGCAAATTCAGAATGGTTGGCATCCAAGCAGTGGTAGGTTCACTGGTGTACTCCAAATTAGCCCTAGTGTGTGCTCTATTGTAATAGAGATATGAAAAAAGGATCCCCTTTCAGAGAACTGAGTTAACCTTTTGTCCTCCAGAGGATTTACCCCCCTTCTTGACCAGGCCATTTTTTGCGATACGATGCTGCGTTATTTCAATTTTGAAAAAAAAAAAATATATATATATATATTTTTTAACTTTTTGCTATAAAACATATCCAATAAAAAATTTTAAAAATCAAATTTTGTCATGAATTTAGGTCAAAATGTATACTACTACATGTCTTTGCTAAAAAAAAAAAATCCCAATAAAATGCAAATGAATTGTATTATGTGAAAGCTATAGCATCTACAAATGGCGGAATACATACGGGAATTTTTTTTAAATATACTAGTAATGGCGGCAATCAGCGACATATAGCGGGACCGCGGGGGGGGGGGGGGACTGAATAACTGCCACTGATCCCCAGTGACACTAATACAGTGATCGCTAATAAAAAGCACTGACACTGTACTAATGACACTGGGCAGAGAAATACTAAGCAGAATGTCCTTGCTGGCAGGAGAGAGACCTGTGTTGTGTACACACAGGTCTCTCCTCTGTCAGCTTTACACTTGATCGCCAGGTGCCAGCGGGGAATCTTCGACCAGAACCCAGTGATTGAAATCCCTAGCTGTCAATGGCAGGTGTGTGCGTAATTTTGCTCAGCCCTGCAGCAATACTTCTACTATAGGGCGGTGGACAAGCGGTTAAAAGGTTAGCACTATATAAAACAGAAAAAAAAACAAAAATACACAGAGTTAGACTTATTGGTAACTGTTTCCAGTAGCCTTCGAGCACAGGCCTTGAGAGATGGAGCTCCTCTGCCCAATCAGGAAACACATTGCCTCTTCCATCTTTTAAGGAGGTCCCTCAGGCCCATGCCCAGTTATCCATGAGAACCTAAGGACGGATCTGAAAGACATACCAAACAACAAAACACCCAACAACTTAGGTTCTAGGATGGGAATGTGCTGTCCCAGAAAACAACAGGAAACCAAGATACTGGTAAGTCTAACTCTGTTTTTCCCAGTCATCATCCAGGTCAGCCCCTAAGAGAATAAAAAAGTACTCACCAGATTAGTGGGGGGGGGGGGGGGGGGGGGAACCATTGCTTGGAGACCCTTCCTCCCAAAAGCTTGGTCTTGGCTGGAAATTAGGTTCAGAC